CACAGAGCCCTGTCCCCTGCACACCCCTGTCCCCTGCAGTGCCCTGTCCCCCGCACATCCCTGTCCCCTGCACACAGCCCTGTCCCCTGCACACCCCTGTCCCCTGCACACCCCTGTCCCCTGCCCTGCGAGCGGGCACCGGGACACGGATCAGGGCTGCCTTCGGCTCTCGGGCTCCATGCTCACCCCGGCCGGGTCACACCGAGCGTGTCGGAGCCACCGGACCTGCTCAGCCCAGGGTTTGGCAGCATTCCTGGCTTGGGCAAGGACCTGCCACCGCCGCTGCTGTGAAGAGCCAGCAGGGCTGAGCCACAGCACCGGCTCGGCGGCTCTCGGCCGGCACCGGCACGACCCAGGGGATGTCATCGAGCCTGGAGAGACGAGCAAAGAGCTTCTCCCAGGCTGCTGCAAAAGCCGTTCAAGTGAAGCGATGCGAAGATGAAATCGGGTCTCTGTAAGGTGCGCTAGGGAGACTCGGGCGCTGCGGGCTCTGCCCTGCAGAAGGACAGCAGCCCCAGCTCCCCAGGCCACAGAGGGATGGCTCTGTGCACATGCTGCCTCCCAGACAGAGCAGCTTTTCCTGGAGCTAGGCTCTGTTCCCTGCTGTGTCCTGCCACATAATCGAGCTGCTCTCCTCGGCAGCAGAGGGAATTTCCCAAGGCCACACATCCCGTTAGAGCCATCGGCAGGGGACCAGGGGACCGGGGATATAAAGTGTCATCCCTGCGGTATTGTGGCACTGTCAAAGAGGTGATCTAGGTAAATTGCTTCTACTTAAAAATACCAAAAAGCCAGAGCTGTCTGGAGCAGCCAGAGCTGAAGCACAGCTGGCCCAGGGCACCTCCCAACTTCCAGCAGCAGCAGGAATGGAGATGGAGGAGCAAAATGCTCTGGCTGCAGCAGCCAGCACTGCTCAGGATCCACTGTACTCCCAAGAATTTCACTTTCTTCTGACACTTCAGAGCTTCCATTAAAGCTCCAGGTGAGCACAGATGCCCAGATACCAGCAGCAGGACTGTTCCCTGCTGGCCAGCTCCAACTCCAAACATTTCCTTAAGCAATTTGCACATCTTAAAAATAAAATCCTTTATTGATAATATGAATGTTTAACATGTTTAATGCCATCAGCTATAAAAAATGATTAAAGACTTCAGCTTGGTACGTTTGGCTTTACAAATTTACAAGTGTTAATGAATTAATACTAGTGTTATATGTTTTGCACTTCATTATACTCCATTAGCCAGTGACAAACTCTGCAACAATGTCTGCTTAGGACACATGTGAGTTAGAGAAGAAATATTTAGTTGCTTCCACACAGAATCTACATCAACAGTTAAATACTAACTCTAAATGTCTTACTGAATTAGTTGGATCCACTTTAATCCCTTGTGCTTAGTTTCTTCCAGAAGTTAGTCTACTAGCAAAAATACATTCTTTTGCATACCCCTTCCCATATTATATTTTAGAAGAAACAGTACTCAGTGCATTTCCTATTAGACTTCATCATAGTATCTCTCTCTCTAGAACTATCGATAAAGAAAGGGGATAATACCAGTCAGATTAATGTAAAAGCAAAGAAACGCATTAAAGCAGTGTATACAAAAGCCTCATTTTTCAATCAGAAGGGATACCTGGGCCAAACTCCTTCTGCCCATCCATTTTTACATTTACACTCAGCAAGAGGAAAAAAATCTGCTGTGGACACTTAGCTGAAAAAGTAATAAATGTGCTTCCAAAAGAGTCACTGCCCATTTAGCTCTGGCTGCCTCTGTCCCTGCTGTTAACACGCACTGTTCCACTGGATTAGGAACAACAGCCATAATGTCACTCCCTAAAAGGCTTTCAAAAGGTCTGTGCAAACCTGTAAAGCCCTGCCACGGCTGCGTGGGGTCACTCCAACAACAGGAACCTCACAGAGCACTGACAGCTCTGCAGCCTGCCAGGGCACAGGGATGTGTCTGGAGAAAATGGCCAGAGGAGAGGGTGTCTCTGGCACTGGGAGCTGAGCTCAGGACAAACCCCACTCTGCTGCTGCTGTGGGAACGTCCCAGCGCTGGGCAGCACCGAGCCCGCTCTCTAAATTTAGATCAGCTCACATCCAACACCCGAGATCATTAACTCGGGGTCGTGCTCCCAGCCTCTGCCACTGATCCTGATCCCAAACACTGTGTTTGTCCTGCATTTCCCAGCACACTGACTCACAAAACAACTCTGCTGGGCCCATTGGTCTTCTTGCAGCAAACATTTCTGCACAGGAATCAACTGCTTCTCCTGGGTACTTCTTCACACACATGATCTGCCTCCAACTTAGGCAATTCCTCACTGAGGAATTTTTTTAAATCTCAGTGAATTGCCATGTTTTCTTCTTATGAGGCAGAAGATCAAGAAGAGATCAGTATTTCCCTAATACACTGTGTAGGTGTGACATACTTACACAGATCTACATATTCAATTCCACAGCAGCAACGATTTGGTTCCATATTTGCAGCCAAGGAAAGCTAGCTAAAGCTAGTGGGTAAAATCCAGGTCAGCCAGACTTAACTGACAGAGATGAGGAACAAAATTATTGCTTTTGTTTAAAGTTGGAGACCCCACGTTACAGGTGTTACAAAAAACCTGTATTGTATGGATGAGTTACTTTTTCAAGTAATAGGGAGATCTTTGTCAAGTAACAGAAAGATCTCTTTCTCAGAAGTTCTACACACAACAGTAGAATTCTTGCAGAGCTTGAAAATTCCAGGTGATACACCAGAAACCAGAGTTCAGCCATTTAAAGCACACAGGCATCTTGGCAGGAAAGCAGAAAAACTGTATGGACAAGGAATACTGAGAGAGAAGGAATCTGGATGGTATCACAACTAAATCTTGCCCCAAGAAACTCCTGTGTGCTTCCTCGAATGGCTGGGAGCCATGTCCCGAAGGACGTAGCCTGGCTGGCTGCACCAGTCTGGGGTCACCTTGCAGAACTTGTAGCACATTTGCTAACTTATCTTAGCAAATGGTAAAAATTAAAAGGAAAACCAGTGTTGGTTTTAACATTCAGGACTCAGAAGAATTTGTTTCTGCAGCTAGATGTTCCCCTCCTCACCTTTTCCCGAGAATCACATTCATATTGCAGGCTTAGTTCAGGCACTTTTATAAAATGTTCATCTGGAGTAAAAAGTCTGCAAAAAATTATTTCTGCATAATTTAAAAGTAGCATTTCAGTCCCATTAGAGGTTGATAGGTCCCACCACATGATTATGGTTGTTATCTCTAATGATTTGACTGCTGCCAGGAGACATTTGGAGGCTACTGTATAGCTTTAGTTAAGGTTTCTTCATAAACAAAAATATTTTCCTACCTATTAAAAAGGAAAAAAAAAATATACTAAATGCTTTATACAGACAGAATCTGCTACTATGGAAATAAATAACATGGAGTGGAAAAACAGTGTCTTAGCTCCAGGGTAAGCTAAGCTGTGGAATGTCACATTCCCATTTTCTGGAGACTAGCTGCTGCTTGGCAGGAGGATCTCCAGGTCTTTGCCATTTGACACGACAGTGCTGTTGGAGCAGCTGCTTGCCACGTCCATGGGGGCACCCAGGGAGGAGGCCTGGGAAGAGGTTTTGGTGAGCGGAGCAGCAGCAGCAGGTGACTGAGCGAGGCCAGGTTTCTTTGGAGGAATGGGTGGAGGGTTCCCTCTTTCTGCTCTAGGAATGGTTGGTGACTTAATTCCAGGAGACAAGGGGCTTAGCGGGCTGGAAACCTTGGCAGGGCTTGGGGAGTGCCCAGACTCGCTCTTGGGGCTGACAGCATTTGCCAGGTTTCGATAGTCCGTGCCAAAAGGGGAGCTGTTAGGGGAGACAGGCTTGATGGGACCCTGCTGGCTGGTGAACCTGGACAGCACCTGGGTGACCGTGTTGCGGGCCAGCTGCTTGGCAGCAGAGTTGTCGGCCAGGGTGGGGGACAGGTCCCGCGAGGGGGGGCTCTGCAGGCCGCTCGACTGATGCTCCTGCTCCGCCTGGGACTGGAACTTGTGCCGAGCCGCGTGGAAACGCTGGTTGATGCCCACCTGGTAGGAGGACTGGTAGCCAGGGCTGCTGGCAGAGGCTCCCACCAAGCGTTTAGCCAGCACCGGTGAGGAGCAGGGAGAAGGGGTCAGAGAGGAGGCAGCTGTGCTGCTGGGGGACAGGGACACCCCAGCAGAGGGGAGCTGGGACATCAGATGCACCGGTGACTCTGTTCTTACAGGAGAACTTCCATTCTCCACAGTGTTTTCCAGGGCTGCAGCAGATTTCTCCCTGTGCACTTGGCTCTCCGCAGCGTTTGTCTCCCCACCCATCTGCCCGTCCGTGTCACAGTGCCCGTTGGATTTTGCATAGGAATGAACAGGCGTGGAGGGGCTGGCAGACACGGGGTGAGCAGCTTTGCTGCTGCTGGCAGCGTTTGCTCGTCCTGCCTGCACACTCTCGGTCTGGCAGGACACAGACTTCACTGGGGGACTGTCAGTTGTGACCCCCCTGGACGTCACTGAGGGGCTGGGATGCACAGCCTCAGAGGGACTGTGCTCCTGGCAGGAAGCCTCCAGCTCTTTCAGGGCTTTCTTCAGACATTCCACCTCTTCTTTGAGTGCTTTTGTACGGTTTTCTTCTCTGTTAAGCTTAGCTTTCAGCTGTTCTCTTTCAATGTCAAACTCTGAGAGCTGCTTTTCTACTTGTGCTTCCATCTGCAAACCCCGCTTCTTCTTGGCTGCCAGCTCCTCTTCCAGTTTACTCACCTTACTCTTCTCCTTTTCCAATTTCAAGCTCAGTTCTGCTGTCTTCTGGCCCTCTTCAGCTGCTTTGGCAGTGGCTTTCTTGCACTCCACAACAAGCATGGAAGACAGTTGCTTGTGGCGTGCTCTTTCTTCCTCCAACTGGCTTGACAGCTTCTTCTGCTCTTTTTCAAACTTCTTCACTTGGGATTTTTCAAACTCCACCTGGAAGTTCAGAATAAAAAAGATTTTAAGGGGACCATAAAACCTCCTGAAAGTAAACAAAGGGCAACACCCCAAAAAGGAACAGGTTTACTGTCTATCTTGGAGAAATGACACAGTAAACAATGACAATGGCTAAGAAATGGGTTATTGCCCCAGAAATCTGCAAAACAGTCTGGAACAAGTCAGCTTGCACATAGTTACAATTATTACTGACTAGCAGTTTTATCCTGTATGAAATTCAATTGGCCTTTAGTGAGAGACACGCCGAGTCTGCCATGCAGACGGAACAAGCAAAGCTTCCTTCCAGCTCATTTACTACTTTGTCAGTTTGCCTTTTAAAGGCATTCAGGATTTAAAATGCTGATGTGTTATGTATGCTTAACAAAGGCTACAGCACTTGAGTAACAGAAAACAGTGGCTTAAATATTTATTAGCATCTCTGAACAACATCCCCAGGAGATCTTCTCAGTGACTTATTCTGAATTTTGAGTACTGCAGCATGCTACCAATTGTAAGTGCAGCCCTGTTCCTCAGAATTCCTCGGATTTCAGGCTGAAGTAAGATTTCAAAGCATTTGATTGCCTATTAATGCTTTTAGCACTGCTCAGCTACCAGAACACACTGAGAAATTTGAGGCTGTTTTTCATATCAAGATGACAGAAGCTAGGAATGCCTTACAGGGGGAGGCTCCTGCTACTCTTGCATCACATCCCTGCCGAGCTCCCGGGAGCCCGGGGCTCTGCGGGCTGGTACCTGCTGGGTGAGCCGCTCCCGCTCCTTCTCCAGCATGTAGGTGACATCGTCCCCCTCGGCCGTGTCCTGGGCGTGCCTCTGCCTCTCCTCCTCCAGGTCCAGGATCACCTGCCCAACAAACATCAGCCATTCAGCAAGGTCCAGCTGCCCGGCAGGCGGGGAGAGATCGCTCCGGAACGACACGGGAGAGCCACGGCAGCTTCAGACACCCGAGCCCAACTCAGGTTACAGAAAGCAGCCCTTGGACAGGTTCAATGTTTGTAACTATTGGTCACAGTGAGTCGGTTTGTGAAAGACATTAGGAAAAGCTCACGTTGGATCTGTGTGCATTTTATTATTAAATATCTAAATTGCAGGCTTTTCCCCCAGACTGTGCCATATCCTTGAGAGGTCCCTGTTACGAATGGTGCCCTCATTCCAGAACAGCTGGGGCTGGAAGGGATCTCTGGAGCTCATCCAGTCCAACCCCCTTGCCAAGGCCTTGTCCTGGAGTGGGCTGCACAGATCAGTCCAAGAGGGTTCTGAACACTGGCAGGGAAGGAGAATCCACAACCCCTCCACAGCCTGTTCCAGTGTTCTGTTACCCTCAAAGTAAGTCAGTTTTTCCTCATATTCAGCTGGAAATTCCTGTATTTCAGTTTGTGCCTCTTGTCCCTTGGAACTCAGAATTTCCTGGCAGGACCATCAATCCAAGGCCCAGCAGGAGCAGAGGTGCTGCATCCAGGAGACACAGGGCACTGACAACAGGACAGCCCCTGCTGTGGCTCCAGCAGCAATTCCCACATAGCCTTCTCCCCCTGCCTTACAGGGACTAGAGGACTCCAGTGTAAAGTTTATTTTAAAGAACATTAATTTGTTCTTCCACTTATGAACAAGATGAGCTCTTGAAGTGAAACTGTTTCCCACAAGGACCCAGTGAAGGAGCTCCTTCAGCTTTAACACTGAATTACATGAATAATTGAAATGCTATTAACTCAACAAAAAGCCAGAACACAAACTTCCCAAGAGGCTCTGCTGAGTCTCATCACCAAAACTGAGCTCTCCCAACACACACTCACCATGAATTTAGCAGCTCCTCAGTCTTCCTGAAATTTAAGCTTCCAAATAATGCTTAAATATCATCAAGTATACAGGAAGAATTCACAGAAGTAGACAGGAAAAGGTGAAAAAATATCTGATTTTACTGTATGACTTAGCTGGATATTTGGCTGGAAAGCAAAGCATGGCTTTGTTCTTACTTCTAGTGACTTCAATTTTTGTGGTAGTATGGTCTGACACAGGACCAAGCACTTTCCTGGTGTCAATATACATTAAATGTATGTCTGAAGAACAGTAGGTGCTTCATTAAAGAGGCCAAATGTCAAGAAAAATCCTTTTGGTCACTCCATACTTCCTTAGGGAAGCACAAGGAGGTGCCTTTCCCTGGCAGCAGCTCTTCAATAACCACAAAGAACAAGTCCCAGGCACAAGAGTGACAGGCCTGCTGAGAATTGTGTCTTCCAGAAACCATTTCTTGCATTTTGGGAAGCATTACACCTCCCAGCTGTAAGCTAGTTCCTTTTTGGTGTGTCCTGACAAAAACATCTTCTGTATAGAACTAATTAGCTCAGCAGCTGCATCATCTGGAGTGAGAAGTTTAAACAAAGGTGCAAAGTCCTTTCAGTTACCAAACCTCAGGGAACTTAAGTGGTTTTGCTGAAGTTAACATGTTATTAAAATGCAACTATAACTTCTGCACATCATAACTGAGGCAAAACCTACCTTTCTGTGTCTGCTTTCTGCAGCAGCTAGCTGGGATAACATTCTTTCCTGCATATTCTTGCAGTGTTTCATCACCACTTTCAAAATAGATAAAGGATTGGAGCATACTGGCTGCTTTTCACCATGATTCCCCTCTTTCAGGGTCTCAAAATCTCTCTGCAAAGCCATCAATGGATCACTGATGTTGTATTTCCCATAGCGTTCCTCGATGAACGTGTCCCTGTGCTGAGCCTGCAACACAAAAACAAATCTGCATTTTAATACACTTAAACCAGCTAGAGACAGGGCTTTGTAGTTAATGTTCCTTTTCCCCAGTTCTCCATTGAAAAAGAATTTAACACAGTCTCCTTCATATCCTGTTATCTGCTAGAAAGAGAGGAAATAAAGAAAAATCTTGTTTAAAAACACAGCAATATATTCAGTCTACAAACATCCTCATACCACAGCTACCTGCCATGGCCATGACTTACATTCCACAGCTGTGTGAAAGGAAAGAAGGTAAGTAGCAACTCTTGCTCAACAAAAGATTTAATCATTTATTGTCGCATCAGTGAAAGAAGCACTTGTGTGGTTTCCTTGACTGTGTCACCATCAAAGAATTTAATGTTGAGCAATTAAAGAGTTTCACTCTTGCAAGAGCCATAAATCTGTGAATTGTTAATAAAATCCTTAATGTTCTCATCCAGACTAAACAGAGTTTAGTTTCTCAAGGAGCAAGACAGGAATGATGAGGTTTCCTTTGGTGCTTGTAAGGATTAAGACAACTCACACGTACGAGGCTCTACATTTATAGGCTGGACTTGATGAGCTCAGAGGTCTCTTCCAACCCCAATTATTCCATGAATCAGCCATTCCATCTGGAAATGTGTTTGTTAGGATACCCATAGGCTTATCCTATTCAATGATGACTGTAAAGGTCTAGAAACAAAACAAAATCTCATAAACAGACAGATATGAAAGTATTATCTGCATGTTTACCACCGTGATAAGAAATCATGTGAAACCAAATATTTATGCAAGAAAAGACACAGGAGGAAAACCAGATCTGGATTCAAAAGAGCCTTCAGACATGTCTTGGCTCAAAGGAATATGATCACTGATTTCCAGTGCAGTGGCACTGGGCTGAACTCTGAGCATTTGTGAGAGCCTGAGGCAGCTTTTCATTCCCCTGAGTGTCACTGCCAGCACGACCCCTAGCCCAGCAGAGCTGATGCACCTGCCAAGAAATAACACCTGAATATGGAACTTCAGCTGGGTCCCTCTTGATTGGTGCTGTGCTGTGAGGACTGGTTATTGTGGCAGTCCACAGCTTTGCTTTTCTACAGCAGAAACAACTGCTCTGTTCTGTTCTGTTCTGCTCTGCTCTGTTCTGCTCTGCTCTATTCTGTTCTGTTCTGCTCTGCCCTATTCTGCTCTGCTCTGTTCTATTCTGCTCTGCTCTGTTCTGTTCCGTTCTGCTCTGCTCTGTTCTATTCTGTTCTGCTCTGCTCTATTCTGTTCTATTCTGCTCTGTTCTGCTCTGCTCTGTTCTATTCTGTTCTGCTCTGTTCTGCTCTGCTCTATTCTGCTCTGCTCTGTTCTGCTCTGCTCTGTTCTGCTCTGCTCTATTCTGCTCTATTCTGCTCTGTTCTGCTCTGCTCTATTCTGTTCTATTCTGCTCTGCTCTGTTCTGCTCTGTTCTGCTGTTCAAGGCGCGTCCTCGGGGAGGCCACAAGGAAATATGGGGGCTGCTCCTTGGCACGAGTCACCCACACCACTGAAATGCAAGAGTGAGCTCTGGGACCTTTATCAAAGTGTGTTTAATTTAGAACAGACTTCAGAACAGAGTGTGTGACCTACAGAAAGGTTCTGACCCTAAATGCACTTTTCCTGCCAGAGCACACACGCGACACATTTTTAGCTTGAGCAACTGCTCCCAAGGAACGCAGTCTGCACCTTCTCAGGTGTGCTTCACTCTGCTGCTCCCAGCAGAAGCCGTTCCAAGCCAAGCCCAGCAGCTCTCTGGAGCTGGTGGAGGGCTCTGAACGTGAGTCCCTCACAAGCCCAACTCTGCTGATGCTGGGAATGGCATTCAGCTGCACAAAGCTCCCTGCTTTGAATGCAAAGCCAGCCCGTGCCAGCCTCGCTGAGCACTCCCCAGAAACCCTTTCAGAGAACAGGAATGGCAAACTGTCACCCATTGCTTCTGGGATTGCACAAGGACATCATTCAGGCAGGAAAGACAGCCTGACTCAAATGAAAAGACAGCTCAGAAGCCAGTACTTCTTGGAATGTCTTTTGTGATGTCCCAGTATCAAAACCACAAATGCTTCACACAAGAGCAGGAGTGACAGAATTGTGGAACATCCCCACACAGTAAAGTACTAAAACTTGGTGTTTCTCAAAGAGCTGCTGAGATTTGCTAGTCCCACCTGCATTCTGAAATGCAGCCATGTCATTAACATGAAATAAACTAAAAAAAAATTAGAAGGAAAAGCATTGGCATTACCTTGACAAGAGGCATAAAAAACCCAACCCAAAATATCTTCTCCACAACCAAATTAGAGACATCTGTCCTGTGATTCCAGTTTGGAGCTGGATTTTAACCCTGCAGTAAACAAACACGGAGGAACAGCGCACACTTACAGACACCCCTCCCTCTCTATCAGCAATATCCATCAGGAACTGTGGATACCTTTGATCAGAGCTTCAGATATTGTTCTAACTTTACACAATAATAAAAAGGAGAGGAAGGAAAAGATCAGCCCTGGAAATGGGAGAGCAGCCCTGGTTTAATGAATCACAGGAAAGACTACAGGTTTGGCTTTTGGCTTTTTTTTTTCTTTTTTTGGGAACAGGGAATCTTCTGTTTTTCTGAAGTATTTATAAAAATGACTCAATGAAAGCTTCATGTAAGTGTGGAGGGAATTTTTAAGTGAGTCAAGCATTAATAAGTCTGTAAATATGAGCTGGGATCTCCATCCAGCTGGCCTTACTGCTTTGACAAATGAGTTAATCCCAGCTCACCCCAGTGCTGGCCATTCTACACAGAAACATGGGAGACCCTTCAGAGGGGCACCAGAGCTTCAGCTGTGTGAACACACCTTGTCTTTACAACCAAATAACAGCTCCCAAAACTGAGATGAAGGTGATTTTTGCAATGCTGAAGGTGTAACAAAAGCCATGTTTTCCTCTGCTCCTCACAGCACAGGGCTCTGAACTCTGCTGAATTCAGTGGGGTTGGTTTATTTCCTGTTTGGGAAAGAACAAGAAGTTCTTCCTTGCTACTTTGAGCAATTAAGTATTTTCCTGAACTAGCATGACAAACAGATGAGACTATCATAACATTAAGAGCTTTCTCAAGTCCAACTAATCTTCTTTAGTAGCCAGCAGAGCATAAACATTTAATTAAAGTTGTCTAGACTAGAAAAAGCCTTAACCAGGTCCTACACTGACCACACCACGCTTGCAACAACAATCCCAGTGCTTTGGTGGCCACTGTGCACTTGGAAATGCAAATTGGGATTTTCCAGCCTGTGACACCTCTGTGCTCCAGGTCCCACAGAGCAGCCACCTGGCTCTCCTCCACCACTGAGGGAAATGAAGTCACAGTGCCACAATCTCCAGGGGTCATTTTATACAGGTGTGGAAGTGTCACAGACAGTGACACCTGCCATGGCTTGTGCTCCTCCCTGAGACAGCTCTGCAACTCCTCTGCCACTGGAGAGCACGTCCAACCACCTCCAACACTTCTGATCCTGTCCTGTCTGAACTGGATTATACCTTAAATACAGTTGTTCAACTTTCAGAACGGAAGGAACTTGATGATGGAAGAGAAACACAATTAGTGAGCCCAAAGTGAAAAAAACCAACCTAGATCTCAGATCCCAGCACAGAAAACACAAATCCACAGAAAATCAAGCTTCAATAAAAATGAAAAAAGGTTACAAAATGCAGTGTTAGTTAAGGAGTGGAAAATTTCATCTGAACACCAGAGATCACACACACACCTCCAACATCAGCAAAGGTGCTTTGAAAGAAGATGAAACTCTGTGCAGTTATATCTTCTAATTTAATAACTCCACCTCTATCATCTCAAACGTGCAAAACTCTCAATTTCCCACAAAAATACTCAACTTCCAGAAGGTCCAATGGACCACTGCTAGTTTGTTTGGGAAGAGATAATTCTGATTTTATGGGGCAAAAGCAGGATCTGACCCAACTGAGAAGATGTTTCCTGTGCAGGCAGGCAAAGCAAAGGCTTTGCTTTGTTAGGAAAAAGCTGCTGTTTCCTCTTGGGATTTCTAGGCTGTTTTGGGATGAATGTTTCTCATAACCTATTTTTGTATTTTTCTTTTTTTTAATAAAACATTTCCTTCTACTGAAACCTTGTTTATGTGACAGAATAATCTCTGTCTTTTCAGTAATCTTTACAACTTGTTTTACTGGAACATCAAACAGGGAATTTCCAAGACCTATTTCGAGTGTTTTTTGGACATCAGGTAGAGCATTTCTCTTCCCTGTAATTTCACAGTTAAGGTTTTAACCCTGGTACAAGACAAACACACTCTTAATTAACTATAGCTACTGAGTTTGCAGTTCTCCAGTAATAATTTGCACAGAAGTTCCTCCTTCATGTAGCAGAGAGTGGAATAAGCTTTAAATAGCTCCTTACTGCCTTGAACTTCCTTATTAGCTTCTCTCCCCAGAGACAGAAGTTGGGAATAAAGACAGGCTGAGATCACAGCAAGCACTGACAGAGAAGGGAAATGGGGGTGGGGACCATTTGCTTTGCCCAAAAATAAATGTCAAAATGCTGGAGTGGGGTTTCCAGTGTTGCACTAGCTCGAGTTCTGCAGCAGTGCCAGGCACAGAGCCACAAGTAAAATGTTCAAATGCAGCATCTGTCTTAATTTCCATCACATACCAAGTGAGCAGAGCTGATAAATGAGAGCTTCCCACATTTGCCCAAGTCAGACCTGTTACAAGCTTTGAAAAGCAGAAGAAGTTCTCAGGAAATGTCAAGCAGCACAAAATTGCAAGTTCCTTCCCTGGAAGCTTGTGGGGAAAGGCTGGCTGTGCCTGGCTCCTGGTGCAGGGACTGCACCTTGCTCAGGAGCTGCTCTTTGCTCACCCCAAAACCAGGGGTCCCAGAGAGCTGAAATGCAGAGCAGGAGCCCTTCCAGCAGGGAAGCCATTCCCAGCCCTCTGCTCCTGCTCTGCACACACCTGGGGACTGGGAAGGTGAGGACAGGCAGGTTTTGAAAGATACTGGCAAGCAGGGCTTAGTTCTTTAGTGCAAGAACTAAACAAAAAAATTCCCCAAGCTTGCAAGAAAAGGAATGCCTGCATTCCAGCAGACTGCACCCACGGGAACACTGCTCCATGGAAGCTGCTTTCTAAGTGATGCATAAGCCCAATTTGCCCCATCTGTGAAAGATTTAACAGCAGGAAGGTTTTGCATTACTGAACTTTTCTTTTTATTTAAACAAGAGGTAGACTTAAGTTTTTGAAACTGCACTGTAAATTTCTAAATCCACTAACAAACAACACCTAGTTTTGTACTAATACTGCTTTATAGTGAATCACTGAATTCAGAAGCCAAGAGATGAATACCAGCTCCCAGTCATTAACACAGAATAATTTCTATTCCAGTGTAAATTGCCCCAGGCCTTATTAACATAAAAGAATAAGCCAGAAAGCTGTTTCCTGTTTTCTAAAAGTAAACAGAACTTCAGTTCTAATGCATGGAAAACTCTCTTTAAAAGAACAGGGGGGGAAGGAACAAAGTGCTCTAACACAGCAATAGAGATCCATTTAAAAATGGAATTGTTTCCAGTTGTGGTGTGTTATTTCAGAAGGCAAACCTGTGGCTCATGCAATCCTTCCTACACAGCACTAAGAGTCTAACTCGCAGGATTATGCAACTCTCTGACAGCATCTGGGTTTTTTGGATGATATAAACACAATTA